ACGGGTGCCAGAGGCGGCACTCAGAGCCCTCTCTGTGGGCACGCACACCGTCGCCCCAGTCCTAGGCCTTCAGCTGGGTTTTATAAAACCTTTTCTCTTTAGGCCTCCACCACCGTGTGCAAAAAAAAAAAAAGGTTCAATCAATTTCAACTTCTCGCAGGAAAAAAAAGATCTTGCAAAGTTGGAATTGATTGATTGAACTTTTTAGTCCCACCCAGTCTGCCATTACCACCGCGGCCACGCCCACCCGGCACTTGACGATGCATAAGTGGATTTTGGGTTGCAGTTTGGGCACTCAGTCTCTAAAAGGTTCGCCATCACTGCTTTAGGTGGTCTTCGTGAACAGCCAAAGGTAGAGCGGTTTGCTGTAGTTCAAACAAGAGATGACCAAAGCATGGTGAAAGTGAGCAGGGCCTTCTAATTAGGAAAGGCATAATTGGTATACAAGATAGAGCTGTGTAGAGGCTCTACGCCCCCGAGCCTCAGCCCATTACCGGGCCACCGCCTGCTTGAAACCAGGCCGCGGGAAAAATGGGCAAGCCTGCACACATGAAGCTCCACTCGCGCGAGTGGCAGGCAAGCATGCACGCCAAGCTCCACTGAAGTTCCATTTGTTTGAGTGGAGGGCGTGCGCACCCGTGCACCACTTGCACAAATGGAGCTGAGCGTGCGCATGCACCTGCTTCTGACACACCCACACCAGGCCAGGCTGCTAGGCCAGAAAGATTGGGGACCACTGCTCTACACAGCAAACCTTTTTAGGATTTAGCTACTTGGATTCGTTGGCTGAAATCAAGAGTAAACAAAAAGCATGGTGTACTTTCTAAGCACATCAACTTGTTCTTCTAGCTTTTCTTAAACATAATGAACATTCAGAAGAGTGGATTGCCACGCTTCCCCTCTGAAATGATATAATCCAGTCCACCATCTTATTTCCATTTTATTCTACTATTTGAGGAAACAAGTGAAATTCATTTGGAGACTGATTTGAGGCCGTTTAAGAATCTATCTCGATCCCATGCGAAGGTGATTAAAATTGTGTGATTTTGCAGTTTGAACTAGGCTACTGCTTTGGTTACATTTGATTTCTCTGGGAATGGTTGGCTTGTTTAGAACCAAGATTAACATTTTGAATGTGTTGAGACTTCAGTAATATTTCTCTTTCTTCTGTCCATAATTGCACCTTTAGTTTGTGATTACATTTGGACTCTTTTGTCTCAATTAAAATTGAGTGTCCAGAAAGGTGAAACTTGAGTATCTGTGAACATGAACAGCTGCCAGGATTTTGTTCCTGTTATTTGGTCAAAAATCATTAGCGCTTGGCACAAAAATCAAGAAACTTATCATTTATGTGAATCTGGCACAAAAAGATCAGAATCTGTTGTTCTTTTTATAAGTTTCACTTAAAACTGAAGCTTTCTGTGGAGATCTAAATCACTAGAATAAAAGTTGAAATTTTATATACTTTACAATTCATGCATGCTTGAATGTTGCAGTTTTAGTGCTTGTTTAGCATAGGACTTCCTTATTTAAAATGGTTGATGCAAAGTTCATAGTTGTTATCGAGGAGGCCACGTTTATTACTCAGTTGTAATGAAGCACAAATGAAGCACAACAGGATATGCTGTTGATTTGTCTAAATTCTCCTTTAGGAATTGATGGGGAGTGCAGGTACTATATGTTTCCTCTCTCCTTGAGGCAAACAATTGAATGTAAAGCTTCCTAAAGACTTTATTTCCAATTGTTTGGAAATATTCTGGAAGATTTCCACAGTTAATCTCTACAGTTTGTGGTGTTCACAAGATAAAGGAGAGAAAATATATGTAAATCTACAGAGTTGTAAAGAATTATCTTCTTTGGATGGCCCCCGTTTGCCCCATTCATTTTTATGGGGAAAATATTTATTTCTGTTTGTAATTATATCAATTGGTTGGCATGTAGATTGCCAGGAACATGTGTCCAATCACATTTTTGTACTTGTACATGTTACCAGATCATCAGGTAACAGCACGTATGCCACTACAAGTCATTTTATTAATTAATTCCAAAAGGATGCCAGAGGAAGGGATGTTGTGATTTGGAGTTTTGCCTGCCAGTTAAATAGTGGTTTAGTATGGCAACAGAAAGGATCAATTGGAAGTAAAGAAGTCATCAATTTAAATCACACCTCGGCCATCTCTTTTGCAAAGAGCACCATCATAGGTTAGCCTTTACTGTGTAGGTGTTACTCTAAGCTTCTTGAGATAAGTTATATAAGATATTGTCAACAGTATAAAAGGCTTTATAAGAACACTTAGGTGGAATCAAGGCTTGTGATGAATGCAGCCTTTAGTTCCTTGTCACCAACGTCTTCTGTGAATCATTCACCTGTTAAAAAATATTCTGTGTTTTATCTTGTGCTTGGAGTGCTGGCACGCATGGAATGGGTGTTGCAAGCTCCATGACAGCACTGGCTTTAAGAACTAAGTCTTCTTTTAAATGGAAATCACGCTGCCTGAGCTATGAAGCGCTCTTGAAGATGGTTCATATCCCTTAGTTCAGTTGAAATGTACTTGGCATATGCTAATTTCCTCAAAAAGCAGATTGCTTGGCCTGCTGAGTTTTACATCTCTTACAATATGTGTCACGTTTTCCCCCATGCAAGAAAATAATCAAGCAATGAAACTTGTAGAAGAACAAACTAATTTGGGAAGGTGAGGTGGGAGTTGTAGAAAAAGCAGTTAGATGACAGCCTGAGCCTGGACCAATAAAATGGGAAGAAAAATTGATAGGCTTCCCAGCTTACCATGTCTCTTGGGCTCCCCTCCCTTTAAGAAACGTTTTATAGCTTGCAGTTGAAAACTCAACAGCACTGAGTTATAATTTCTATGGTTTTTGTAACTGGATATTAGCTCTCAGGAAGGAAGAAGAGAGAATGTGGCGCAGAACTTAACAGATGATTTTTCAAGTTTATATCCTTTCTGAAATCACCATAATTAGCCCACTAGCAGGCTCCAAAGAAATTTCTCTGAATATCTTTCTTAGGAGAAGTATTGTTGCATTATTCCCTGCCCTTATTTTATCATCGGGTTAGTTCGCATCTGCTTTGCAGATTTGCTTTCTTGGGTTTTGCTGCAATCATTTCCAGCTAAATGGAAATGCTACTTTAAAAAATGCTTTTTGTTAAGTCCAGCATTTTGCAAGTTCCAAAATAAATTCCCAACAATACAGCGAGCATACAGAGACATGCATGCATACAGAAAAAGTCTCAGAATGATTCACAGCATGAATCAAACATTCGACATTGTGTAAATATTGAAATACATTTCAGAGTATTAATAAGAATGGATACCTTTGTCTATTGGAATGTCTGCATGCAGACATTGTAATAGACAAAAGATATCAACTTCTGTCATCTAGAGGGCCATAGCTGCCTTTGTATGGCATCACTGGGGCCATGTTTCAAAAGTGGAAAGGAATCGGGTCATTTGGGGGAAGGATTCAGAGATTTTAAGAGCAGATTAAGGTATATCCAAGGATTAAGCCGCTCATTTTGCCCCTAAACACTCCAAAATACTAAAGATGACCCAAATGTTCCCCCACTTCCCCTGGAAGCCAAAGAAGAGATTCTACTTCTTGGTGATTCCCCAGCGGGTCTGTACAACTATTAGGGTTGTAGAAATCCCCATCATATCTAGTTGTGAGAGGTTTTGGAATATTAATTTTAGTTCAAAATGTCATTCGAGTCTGAGGAAGTGTGGTTAATTTAAAAGTTGGTAAGTTTGTGACTAGGCCAGTTTCAAAGCATGATTTATGATGTTTGTGCCTGTAAACTGCCTAAGATTCACTTGGACGGTAAGATGGGTGGCTCTAAATTTGATAAATAAATAAGTTCCTTGTTTCAACAAACTTAAGATGCCTCTTCCCCTTTCTCAATTTTTAAATTTAAATATTACACTGAGTAGTCTGGAAGTTGAGTGATGGCAACTGGACTTCTTTTTCTTTTTTTGGTTTGAAACATTTCGCTGCTTATCCAAGTAGTTTCTTCAGTGATTATACTGAGTTTTGTCATTGTATCATACAGTACTGAATCGCCCTTGCTCAAAAATTTGAAGTGGAAAGGCAAGAATGAAGCATGCAAGCCTGAGGCATGCATAAGGCTGGTCATGGCATCAGGACGCAGTCTAGGTTTCAGAATGCTAAGAAGCCTAATTTCATACATGACACCAGACTATGAGAATAATTTAATTAAAACAATTATACACAAGCATTTACCCCGAAGTATTATGGCTGTGTTCTTTTCTTTTGTCTGCTTGTGTAAACATATCACCCAGAGAATTTTAAGACACTATTTTAAAGTTAAAATTTAAAACAAACTAGGAGAAAAACAAAGGAAGTGAAAGGAAAATTGGGAATAACATTTAGAACAGTGGTTCTCAACCTGTGGGTCGGGACCCCATTTGGGGTCGATCGACCATTTCACGGGGGTTGCCAAGCAAGGCTGTCCGCCATTTTTTTGTCCACCATTTTTTTTGTCTGCCATTTTTTTCCCCTTTTCCAGCGGGTGCCTTACCTCCCTTGGGCTGGGCCAGCTGGTGGTCGGCCTGCTCGGTCTCTGCCGCTTGCCAGCTACGCCTTGGCCGGCGCAGGGGGCGGAACCACGCATGCGCGGTGCTCCCGGGCAGGGAAAGTCCTCGACTTACGACCGGTTGGGTAGTCCTCGACTTACGACCGGCTTAGTCCTCGACTTACGACCGGCTTAGTCCTCGACTTACGACCGGTTTAGTCCTCGACTTACGACCAGTTGGGGTCGCGGCATTAAAAAGGTTGAGAACCACTGATTTAGAACAACTTCTGTACAAATGATAATATAATTGATATATGTTCTTATGTTTGGATATAGTCATTCTTTATTTTGACTTTCAGGTAGTGAAATTATATAGGTGCTTAAATATCACTGATTCGGTGAAAGATGACCTTTTGGCTTTTAAGATAGTAAAAATCCCAGTTTCTTCTACCAGGTGATCATAATACCCACCTGAGCCTCCATGGTACTGCTGGTGATGGTTTGGCCGATGATGGAACAGCTTTGGAAGAAGGGGAAGCCAGTCCGGATGCCCAGCCACAGCAAGTCCGAAGGATGCGCAGAGAAGCCTGCACTTGTCCTTATTGCAAAGACAATGATGGGAGGTAAGCTTGTGCTGTAAATTTTGAGTGGACTCTGATGCAAAGGTCAATAAATAAAATGAAGGGACTGCCATAGACTCCTGCTTTAGTTCTTTAGAAGTAGAATTTCCAGTTTGGGAAGCATGTTCTGTTGGGAATACAAGCTTTAAGTCAAAAGCTCTAACATGTATGGAGTTCAGCTCTCTTGTGTATATTGTCCTGCTAGGAAAAAAGATTCCCCAAAACATGTAATTTGACAAAGTTGGCACTATTTGCTTGCTTGCAATGTTAATAGCTGATTACAGCAGGCTGAAAGTAGTTTACAATATGTAAGGTCCGTAAAGACATAACATTAAATAATTCCTGTGCTGTATAGATTGTGGGGAAGGGATTACATCTAGAAACATGTAACAGTTGATTCAATATTTGGTTTGCTCCATGCTAAGTAGCTACCAAGTTTGTGCAAGTATACATCACTCTCTTTTTCCTCTGTGTTAGCAGAGCATTATCTTTCTGAAAACAGTTGCACCTTGCTTTTCCTGAACTATCTGTGCTTTTTCAGGAGATGTAAATAGCTGGTGTAGGGATATGTAACTCACAGATGTTTTCAAAATAGGAGAGAACAAGCAGTGCGGAGACAATAACGTGTGATTTAAAGATTGTCCAGTGTGTCTTGATAAAGTGTCTTCCTTGTCTTATTCTGGCATTCTAGATCAGGACGTAATGCAAATCTTGGTTTTGGATTTGTAGTCCCTTAATAATAACAAAGTAACCTCCACCCATTTTGGCCCCATTATATTACTGGAGAGTTTGTGATTAGATTTCCATGGAGGATGGTGACTTCAATTCTAGTGTTCATGGCAACCACCCAAGAAGATGATGGATAATTCTATGTGATAGTAGCTCTTCTTTTTTTTGCCATGGGGCAAAACAAATGGTAAGCAAACCGGTTTATCTGATTAACTCTTTTATACGTCATACTTTTTAGGGGTTCTGGGGACCCCGGCAAAAAGAAGCAACACATCTGCCATATCCCAGGCTGTGGGAAAGTGTATGGGAAGACATCTCATCTGCGAGCTCATCTTCGGTGGCATACTGGTGAACGGCCATTTGTTTGCTCATGGACGTATTGCGGCAAGCGTTTCACACGCAGTGATGAGCTACAACGACACAAGCGAACACACACTGGTAAGTGCAAGGAGTTCCCGGGCCTGAGCAACAAGTACTGTGTGTAGCTTGAGGTGTGAGGGAGAGGTTTCAAAAGAGTTTTGTGTTGGGATCTTCTTTGTTAACACAGCTATATAAGTAGAGCGACATCTTAGTTATTCAGAATAAATTTGAACATTTAAGTAAAGCGTATGACACCTTCCTGGTTTACTGCATGTAAAAGTGCTCCCTAGCACTTTGTAAAGTTTTTGCATCATGGGTATAACGTCAAACCTTGTCTACAGTTACAGCTACTATATGCAGCATTGCTGCTTTTTAAAAATGCAATGGTAGTTTTGGAACAAATACCTCCTTGCCTTAAGACGTTTTCAAAATGAAATAACATTGCTATAAAAATGCAGTGGGGATGTGGAAACAGAAAGTGCTTTGAAAATAAAGTTTCCGGAATGTATTTGCGTTATTCAAAACAACTCACTGTAATTGTATATATATATAACTGCAAATTTAAAAGTATTACCTAGAAACAAAACAAAATAACCCAGCTGGCAAAAGCGTATGTATGATTATAAAACAGAAATAAATATTATTTTATTTTGTTTGCTCTCTACTTTAAGGCAGTGGTTCTCAACCTGTGGGTCGGGACCCCATTTGGGGTCGATCGACCATTTCATGGGGGTCGCCAAGCAAGGCTGTCCGCCATTTTTTTTTGTCCGCCATTTTTTTTGTCCATTTTTTCCCCTTTTCTGGCGGGTGCCTTACCTCCCTTGGGCTGGGCCAGCTGGTGGTCAGCCTGCTCCGTCTCTGCCGCTTGCCAGCTACGCCTCGGCCGGCGCAGGGGGTGGAACCATGCATGCGCGGCGCTCCTGGGCAGGGAAAGTCCTCAACTTACGACCGGTTTAGTCCTCGACTTACGACCGGTTGGGGTCGCGGCATTAAAAAGGTTGAGAACCACTGCTTTAAGGGTTTGTAAACGAGCCTTGAATTGAATAATAATAATAATAATAATAATAATAATAATAATAATAATAATAATAATAATAATAAAAAAGTTGGAAGGTACCTTGGAGGTCATCTAGTCCAACCCCCTGCTCAGGCAGGAAACCCTATACCATTTCAGACAAATGGCTGTCCAGTCTCTTCTTAAAAACTTCCAGTGTTGGAGCATTCACCACTTCTGGAGGCAGGTTGTTCCACTGGTTAATTGTTTTAACTGTCAGGAAGAACAATTAACCAGGGTATAAAACAAGAGCCATATGAATGGGCAAATAATGGCCAGAATCATGTGGGAACGTTCAGTTGAGTAAAAATTCACCATAATCAATAATAAAACTGGACCTTTTTCAAATTGAAACCTAAGAATTGGTTTTTAATTTTGTATCTACTATTGTTAATATTGTAATATTTATGATTTTTATTGTAAGCCGCCCAGAGTCACTTTGCAGTGTGTGGGGCATATAAATTTAATGAATAAATATATAAAATAAAAAAAACTATGCAAGGACGTGGCATTTAAAATGTCTCTCTTTTTTTTAGAGGCTACTTTGTAAAACCTTATTTGGATGCCTAATATTTGTTGAAGGTAACAAAACTGAAATATTTTCATAGAATGGGAAAAAGCAAGTGTTTAATAGGCATATGACTGGTATAGTTGGATGGTATAAGACTGATGTCTCTAAGGAAATCTACTCTCTAAAAAGAAGCCAGAGCAAAATAGGCTCCCACATAGGGCATCATTCCTTAATTTTTGTATATAGATGTCCCTGAAGATCTTAAGAAGAGACTTACATGGATAAAAGCTTCTCTTGATATAAATAAGGCTCTAAAAATAATAAGGTTTGTACTGCTCTGAGAAAGAAATAGAACTGGAATAGGTGTCATTGAGTTTGCCCTTTGTAAGTATCTTCTCTAAGTAGGGTCCTGCATATGCCCAATTCAGTAACCTAAACTGGAGGTTACAAGAGCGTGAACGATATGCCAAGTCTGGCTGTGGTTTGATACACTTTTTGCCGATTCTCTAAAAAGAGGACGCAGTTCCTGATGGGAAGATGCTGGGCTACTATGTTTTAAGAATGAAACGAGGGCTTCATGACTGTTTTCTTTCTTCAGGAGAGAAAAAGTTTGCCTGTCCCGAGTGTCCCAAGCGCTTCATGAGGAGCGATCATCTTTCCAAGCACATCAAGACCCACCAAAACAAGAAGGCAGGCGCACCTAACAGCGTGGCTATGGACGTCTCTGCCGTCTCCATCGATGCAAATGCCTCTTCGGAGAACGCCGGTGGNATAATAATAATAATAATAATAATAATAATAATAATAATAAAGTTGGAAGGGATCTTGGAGGTCATCTAGTCCAACCCCCTGCTCAGGCAGGAAACCCTATACCATTTCAGACAAATGGCTGTCCAGTCTCTTCTTAAAAACTTCCAGTGTTGGAGCATTCACCACTTCTGGAGGCAGGTTGTTCCACTGGTTAATTGTTTTAACTGTCAGGACAAAACAGTTAACCAGGGTATAAAACAAGAGTTATATGAATGGGCAAATAATGGCCAGAATCATGTGGGAACGTTCAGTTGAGTAAAAATTCACCATAATCAATAATAAAACTGGACCTTTTTCAAATTGAAACCTAAGAATTGGGTTTTTAATTTTGTATCTACTATTGTTAATATTGTAATATTTATGATTTTTATTGTAAGCCGCCCAGAGTCACTTTGCAGTGTGTGGGGCATATAAATTTAATGAATAAATAAATACAATAAAATAAAAAAACTATGCAAGGACGTGGCATTTAAAATGTCTCTCTTTTTTTTAGAGGCTACTTTGTAAAAACTTATTTGGATGCCTAATATTTGTTGAAGGTAACAAAACTGAAATATTTTCATAGAATGGGAAAAAGCAAGTGTTTAATAGGCATATGACTGGTATAGTTGGATGGTATAAGACTGATGTCTCTAAGGAAATCTACTCGCCAAAAAGAAGCCAGAGCAAAATAGGCTCCCAATGGGGCATCATTCTTTAATTTTTGTATATAGGTGTCCCTGAAGATCTTAAGAGGCTTACATGGATAAAAGCTTCTCTTGATATAAATAAGGCTCTAAAAATAATAAGGTTTGTACTGCTCTGAGAAAGAAATAGAACTGGAATAGGTATCATTGAGTTTGCCCTTTGTAATAAGTAGGGTCCTGCATATGCCCAATTCAGTAACCTAAACTGGAGGTTACAAGAGCGTGAACGATAGCCAAGTCTGGCTGTGGTTTGATACACTTTTTGCCGATTCTCTAAAAAGAGGACGCGGTTCCTGATGGGAAGATGCTGGGCTACTATGTTTTAAGAATGAAACGAGGGAATGGCTTCATGACTGTTTTCTTTCTTCAGGAGAGAAAAAGTTTGCCTGTCCCGAGTGTCCCAAGCGCTTCATGAGGAGCGATCATCTTTCCAAGCACATCAAGACCCACCAAAACAAGAAGGCAGGCGCACCTAACAGCGTGGCTATGGACGTCTCTGCCGTCTCCATCGATGCAAATGCCTCTTCGGAGAACGCCGGTGGAGCAGCCCCTTCAGCCCTCATTGCAACCAATATGGTAGCCATGGAAGCCATCTGCCCAGAAGGCATCGCACGCCTTGCCAGCAGTGGCATCAATGTCATGCAAGTGGCCGATCTCCAGTCGATCAACATCAGTGGCAATGGATTCTGAGGATCTGTCCGATATTGTACAAACGTGGGATTCTCAAGGTCCAGGAGAGATGCCTTTCATAGGGCGGAAGATGGGGACTCAGCTGCCACATCTAGCTTTCAGATACCATTTCTGTCTCCCGGGAATATTGTGTGCAGAATAAGGTCTGCTTGCTGTATAGTTCAGCCTGGTGATGCCTAGAGTGAATACTTGGGAAAATGGGATGGCCCAGAACTGATTGATTGATTAATTTTGTTTTGCTTTTTCTTCCCCTCCCCCCATTAGGTCTCTTCACCTTTATTAGGTACCCCAACGCCATCATGCCTTGGTTCTAAATGTATATGATCATTGAAATACTTTTTAGCAGGAAAAAAAATCTATATTATTATTGTTATTATTATTGTAATTATATAAAATTATAAAATATGTTCTTTTGGATGAAAGAGATTAAAAAGTGCTGCAACCAAAGTCTTTGGTTGTAGTTCAGATGCCTTAACTTGGAACTTATTGAGCTGTTAAACGGCGTTCAGGCTTATGTTCAGATGCTATATTGCATTTTAATTGTATGTATAAAAATATAAATTTAGCTTTTCTTGTGCTTAACTTTTAGGGTGTTTTCTCTCTCTCTCTCTCTCTCTCTCTCTCTCTCTCTCTCCCCCCCCTCCAATGTTCTCTTCCCTTATTTGATTAGACACTCATACCTATACCTTTTTTAAAAAAGTTACTTCCTGATAATTTCCACTTTTCTCTATTTGGAGAAAAGAGTGTCTGTTTAAGGTCCTTGTCATTATTTTTTTTCTACCCAAAGTGATAGGGTCCATGGCCCACTGTGTGTTCTGAACTTGCAAGGGAAACTGAGCCTAAGGAAAGATGAAAACGTGACATACAGTTTTATGTTCCTTGCCTTCCAAAAATGCATGAATTCAATTTTTGGCCCAGGGGGAATTCTTTTTAGTTCCTAGCGTGAAGCAGTGAATCTTCTTTGTTTAAAGTATTTGTTGCATGCATACATACCGCTCTAAGAACACCAGGAATCTTAAGGGTGTGGTGGAGAGGTCTTTATATATGTTATGTGGTTCAACTCAAGCCATTGTACTACAGCGCAAGTTGGAACTATAGTATTGGACTCTTGTTGTTCTTTTGTTTAAGATCTTGACAAATGCTACGGCCGTGTAGTTAAAGGAGAAATGTAAGCTTGGGTTCTTTTACCTTGGGATGCTGCATTGCTGTGAAACACTTAAGGGACTTGCCCAGTTCTTTCCAAATTGACAAATGGCCCAATATTTGGCTCAGTTGCTGGGCGCTCCATTGAGAATAAATTCTGAATTGGCTTTTTTTTTTTATCTCCTATTTGTAACTTTTTAGCAATTTAGTGCTTGCTAGCCAGCCTGCTCCCTTTACGAGGAACAATTATTATGAGGAAATTGCAACAAAGGGAACTTAGGTGGTAGTTCAAATACCAAAGAAATGAAGTGAAGGCCAGTGCTTATGAGATAAAAAGTGAAGGGAGGAGGAAAAGTGAGGCTTGAAAGTCGTTAAAGAATCTCTGTTAAGAGCCTTATGACACTCATCCTCCCATCCCAGTAAGTCTTCAGACAGTTTAGGCATCATTCCTAAAAACCTCTTGTGTTTAGTGTGAACCACCTAGACACGTCTGTTCAGTACCTTACCAGATCACTCAGCTGATCGGCCCTATGTCCTTTTCCCTCTGCTAAATTAAAAACAAGGTAGCATGACAGATTTTTTTTTTTTACTAAGTATTGAGGGAAATCTTCAATTGTCACATAGCCTTCATGAAGCTCCTGCCTCTTGCATACTTCAGTACTTGTCACGTGCAAGGTGAATTTCTATGCCCCGGAAAAAATTCACAAAAGGGTCCATGAATTGTTGCTGGGGTATTATAGCTGGCCATTCTTCGTTGTTTCTGTGGCTTTGCTCTGAAGTTCTCTCATCACTTCACTCCTCAGTAGCATATAAAACCAGTTTATTGTTTTTCTCTGCCTTCAATATAAAGTGTTGTGTTGGTAACATTTTGATGCCCCTCTTGCCATGTCCTGTTCTATTTTCTTTTTATTGTGTTATCTGGAGCTGTACCAGAATCATATGATATATATAATATATATGATATGATATATATGATATGATATACGTACACTCATATATGGCAGTGGTTTAGCAGAGCTGAATTACGACATCATTTTTGTCAGGGACAGGGGGAAAAAGATCATTTTTCCTTCCTCAGGACAATGCTGGAGTTAAGATTAACCGTCCCCACAATTGTCCAGGTGCTTGCACCTGCAGATCCTTGGAGCCCCTTGCCTGGAGTTGGATAGCTCTTTTGTCAGGCTTTTAAAAAGAATATTCTTGTTTCACAAATGCTGTTTGTTGAGCTGAGAGAGGATGGAAACAAGACCAAAAAGCATGAGCATCTTAACGCATGTCAAAAATAAGAAAGCCATGGTGTAAATATTTGACTTCTGTAGTGCTTGTGAATTGTTTGTACTGATGAATTGATGATTTTGCTCCATTTACTTTGGCTGAGGTGAAATTATCACTCCTTGCTTAGCCTTTTCCCCTTTTCTCAGTGATTTCTCTCTTCATTTTGATGGATTGGAAAGGGCAGACTTATACCAGGAATGTAAGAAACATACAACAAATATAAAGTAATGTACCACCAGGAGGACTGAGTAAGTAGGTGTAACTCAAGCATTTTTATTAAGAAAGAATTTCCTTGTCACAGTAGTAGGGATTTGTGGTCTTCCAGGTACTGCTGTTAGATCAAAGGTAAAGCAGATTGTATTTCTAATATGGTGCAAACTCAATATTGATTCAAAAGCAAGAAAAGGTTTTAGGGTCTTGAAGTTGGACGTTCCAGAGACTCAAGGATTGTAATCATCTTGATAGATGATTTTTACTATGATAGATTTCAAGTACTGCATTACTCTAACTAAATTAATTGAATACAAGCATTATTTGCCATAGTGAAGGGAAGCTTGATGTTCTAGATAATTTAGTCCCATACAGTATGCAGCAATAAATAAACTGCCTCATACCTCGAGTTGCTGGCTTATTCCTGCTATTTTAAACCCCCTGCTTCAAGAATGTCTTAGTTGCAGTAATTTTGGGGGGTGGGGGTGGGGAGCAGTATGATACCTGTGATGCCACAAGTTGTCATCTGATTTTCAAATTTGGGAAAGTAGAAACATGTTTTTAAGAAAATAAAAATAAAAATGCTACACAACTCACTGACATCTTTGTTTACACACACAGACTTACTATACACACACACAATATGTATATGCTTATGAAAGATTGCAGGATAGTTCCCACTATCTGAAAGGATAGCTGATTTTTTTTCCCCCTTTAAACTTCCCTATAATGCCAGATTGTGCTTGTTAATAGCATCCACTCTCAAGTATCTGTTTTCTTAGCAGATGTGGTGTCAATGGAAATGCTGTTATGATCTAATCATTTTTCTTCTGCTACAGAAAATCCCACTAGCATTTTTTTTCAAGTGCTACACTTGAAAAATCCTGTCTATTCACATTTACACACTTTCGCCACTGAGAAAACGGCAACGCACCGGGCAGTTTTGTTATTTTGGATGTTACTTTCCCACTCAGTTCAGTGTGACTTTGTAGAAGGAATCCATCTATAAATCTGTAAATGAAACTTTCTGAGTCTGCTGTCTCAGATTGCCCATCACAGAAGATTAATGAGTCTCTCTTATCGGCTCCTGTTTGTTTTCTAAAGAGCAATTTTTTAGTTTACAGCTATTGCTACAAGTCAGGAAGCCAGAAGTAGGGTTTTCAGTTAGTGGTAGAAATTCAATAAATCTCTGAAGTATGAACACTTTAGGAAGGGAAGACGTTATTATAAATCTCTTTACTTTTGAAGGGGGGGAGCAGAAATATGGAGAGAGGGTGAGCATTTTTATTTGTAATAACCTAAATCTTAAAAAAGTGGGCTGGGAGCATGGAAGAATTCTGTTTGGGGAATACTGGGGATTTTAGGTCCCTTGGTAGATTGCAGTATTTATTTCTCCCTAAGTGGTGTATCTCATTGCAGTGCCCGGTGACAATTGCGATTGTGCCTTTTCGTCATACGCTTTTTCTGAGCTTCTGCTAGAATCAAAGGTATTCTCTGCAACGTCCAAAGTAAATATATGCTTGGTATATGCCAAATATTTAGCAGAGTATTGAGGAAAGTGGTCTTTACAAAGATTATATTGCATAGTAGCATTGAATTCCTTACGTATGTGTCCCTCTTTTTTCCCACCCCCCCACTCTGACCTAAAAATGCTCTTTGGTCTTCAGCCAAGGAGAAATTTTCAACTCAGGTCATATTTTTTTCTTCTTCTTTCATGTATAAATAATATTGTCTGAAATAGGCTCTTATGTGTACTATCACTGAACATAATAGCAGTTACAGAAAAAATTTACAGAAAAACATGCAGTAAGTGCCTTTCCTGGAACTCAAAAAAAAAAAAAGAGTTAAAATCAAAAGTTTTCTATGGAAATTATCATTGACTTGACCACCTCGTTTGTCTCCTTGACACCTTCAGTAGCACTGTGTTGAAGTTCGAATTTTGCATTCCATTTAAACTCCTGTTTAGTTGTTGTTTTTTTTAATGTGCTGGAGCATGAATGGCCACCCGTATCATAGCATCACTTATATTTCTCTTCTGTCGCAAAAAGAGCTTTGCTTGCATCATTTAGTTTTATCTCAATAAGATAAGAACTCAGATCTTTAAAGTCTTAACGTAACCATGACTGTTTATTATGTCTGCTTGCATGCACAAGAGATGCATACCTACTACCATTTGAAATAGTGCCCTGGGAGAATTTTGATCTCTCTGTGTGTGAGTAGCCATGTAGGAAAGTCTTTGGTGCAGGAAGATCTGGCCTCTAGACCTTCTGTTTCCCTTTGGAGTCTATCATTTTAGATTTTAAGAAAAGAGTTGTCCACACTTTTAAGCGACAGCGCATCCCCCATTTAGTGCCACCTTCCCCTCATTTTCAGTTTTGTTTTATAACGTTTGTCTGCAATGACCGTTCTTGTGATCCGGTCAGAATGATAGCATGATCCTTGGTTATCTGCTTGGGTTGAGAATGTCTGTTGCTTCCAAAAGATGGCCTCTACTTACAAAGGCACCGTTCAGTTTTACACATACAAAAGCTAAAATAGCATTCTTTGCTGTGTGTGTATGCTCAGAACAAAGCTCAGTTATTTGTATGATCAGCACTATTGGCAGACTTGAGTTGTGTTTGAGGGGAAAAAAGAGAGAGAGAGAGAGAGAGAGAAAGAGCATCCCTTTCCGGAGGCTATTTTTTTTTAGGGTGAGGTTTGTTGTCTTATTGAATACTTTCCCATCACAGATGGAAGGGCTTCATGAATTTTGAAAGTGACTGTCCAGTGAGAGAGGGCAGGGTAGCCATTATTTGGATGTGTGCTGCATGTGTGAATGTGTCTCAATTCCAAGAACGTTATTAA